TGGCTAGCTATCGGCTAGCTATCTGATTCACGTTAATTAAAAGGCCAAAATATTCTTATTCTAAAGTAATTGACAAAAGAAGAGCAGCACATTTGAAAGTTACTTCAGAGATGGAATCATCTTCAAAATACTCAAAAAGCCTATAAATGCTGATTTGTTCCTGATGGTGATTTCTTTCCTTATCTTCATTCCCATAATAAAATTGTTTCATCAAAGCAGACTTATCAAAAACAGGCTCAGAACTGTTTCATATACTAGGGTATTTGCATATTAGAAATATGAGGCCATTTTCTTTCCTCTTAAAAAACAATCCTAGCTTCGCCAGTAGTAAATATGTTTGTTACTTTTTCTCCATGAGAAAATGAATAAACAGGTTGGAGGCCAGGGGCCTGGGGGGTGAAGTTTTGTTCCTAAAGAGTGTAAAATCCAGGAGATATTTGAGTTACTTATGATTTGAAACTGATGTAAAACTCCTGAAAATAAAATAATTTTCATTCTCAATAAAGAAAATGTGTGATATATAAATGAATATGGTATATGTCTGATTGATTTTCATTTCTAGAGAATCAAAACATACTCGGCTTATGGTGTAGTAATGTAATGATTTACAATTGAACTTATATAAATTATAAGCCTTTGAATATAATCCTCGTTTTAGGAATTTTAAAATAGAGGACATATAAAATAAGAATTTTGTGTGTAAAATAGAGGACATATAAAATAAGAATCTTTCATTCCTTGAAAGAGTGGAGAACAGGGGAGTGAGAACAGATATGTTAAGTAGCATGTTTTGACGCTATCTTTCCATATGACTTAAAACTAATTGTTGATCTTTTTTTTTTTTTAAAAATGACAATTCTAGTCTTGGTAAAGCCTTTCATAGACATGTACAGTCTCAGTTTTCCCTTTGTCACTTTGAGAACAGTCTCTCTGCATTACCTTTTTTTACTTTCTTCAGTTTTATTCAATGTGAATTTAATAAAAAAAGGCATTCAGAAAAGACCTGTGTAAGATTTTACTTGCTAACCATAGATACAAATTCATCATAAACTTAAAATCTTTTCAGTTGGAGTAATGCGGGTGAACATGAACTTTTGTATGAAATTAGTATCGATATAAATGATACTAATACAATGAAATTTTATTTTAAAATCTTCCCTCCTTCTCTGCTTCATGCTTCATATGTAATCACCACCTGTTAGTTGACTTAGAATACTGAACTGATATCAGCTTCTTAACAAATGTACATGTGAGTTTTAGACTGATTTTCAGATTTGTACATTGGATCTATCACAAGCTATCTGGTGAAATATCACAGATATATATGTTACCTCTTATCAGCCATTTAATGCAACTCAGGAAACAGTCCTACAGACTAAGTCACAATATTAAATATTCTTCATTTTTAAAATGATGCAACCTCATTCAGTGAACAATTCTGTACATTTATTTAGACCTCAGTTTTAGAACTTTTGAGACATATACAAGCACAATACTAGCAATAAGCAAGCAGCTGTTGGATTTGACATGGTTGACGGTCTAAGCTTTTTACATAGGTAAATCATAAAAATTTTCATTATTCCACATTAAGCTTTTATTATATTTGTAGTAATAAATACTCTGTCATCTCTCTGTGTCACTCATCTTTCAGTACCTTTTGTATTTCAAGAGATGCTTTAGGGTTTAAAATATGAAAATAAATAGGCAATATAGGTGCCTAAAATTGCAGAGCACAAAATGTTTCTATTTTCTGTCTCTGACTTAATCCTAATACTATTAAACAATTATTGTTGTGGGGAATATTGAAAGCCAATCACTACTTTGGGATCAAAACCAACAAAAATATAAAAACTATTAAATAAATAAAAAGCCTAATTCACTTGAGAATTTAATATCGGAATACTGATGCAGAGTGAACATATTTTTAAAATACTGTTTTAGAATTTTTAGTTTGCATTTTTTTCTATAATGTGGTAAAAAAATCTTTTATAAAATAACCAACTAAGGAGAAATATATGTGTACTTTTTAATTCATAGTCATTTAAATCTGGCATTATTAAACACATTTACTTAAAATATCTTGGTATACAGCAATAGGTAAATTTGGTAAATCTTGATATAACACATATTTCTTCAATTTAACATATTTTAAAGATATCCATCATCTCCAATTTAATTGAAAAGTTAACTGTTCTTATCAGATAGCATCATTCTCTTCCATGACACAGCATAGCTGTATAATTTCATTATTTAGAAAATCAGGACAGCTTTGTAAAATCTATGATAGCTTATTTTATATATATTTCTACATTGCACTCATTCACTTCTTTCCATGTGGTTTCCTAGGTCTCTTTTTTTAAACCAATATTGTGAAGTTTAGGAACTGTCATAATTTATGCATGCATTTTCTCCTGCGTATATATATATATATATATGCAATAGATAAACTAAGTATACGAGAGTGAATTTCAAGGCCAATGATCTTAAACTTGGAAATACACATGCTCTTCTAGTGACTATAGATGCCTACGTCCTCACTACATCTAGGGCCTCTGCACAGCATCTCTGACATCTAACCTCAACTATCACCCAAAGGCTAAAATCATTTGGGACCTGTATTTCTTACCCGGTTTTACCTGGACTAACAAAGGGCTGCCTAGATAACAAAACTCACATGTCATTTACATAATTTCTTCCTTTTCTACCTCCTCCTCAAGCTTGTGCAAAGCTTGCCATTCATCCACTCCTACAAGGTATGCCGGGACAGGAATTTATTTTGTGGTTAAAAACAAGTGTCAGACTCTTCTGTGTGTATGTATTTCTGTGGTTGGATATTTCTTTGACAGTAATCTCCATTACCATTTGGGTTTATCAGTCTCCTAAATTATTAATACAAATAAAGTACTTTGTTGTACAGCAATATGACACTCCGCATTTGAAGATAAATTCATATTCCTGTAATTAAATAAGCAGAGATCATGCACTTTATCAGCATGACACACTGTAGTGGCATAATGCACTTCAACCATATGGCAGGTGCCTCACCAATGCGCATTTGGTCTTGGCAGATATTTATTCATTCATTCACTAAACAAATATTGAACACTTTCTACATTCCAAGTGTTGTAGTAGGTGCTGCAAGAAATAACCCAATCACAGTCACACCACTTGAATCCACACTGCATGTGTGTCTACCTGATTATACAACCTAGGGTCTGAGGACCAGTAAAGCGGCAAAGCCTTTTTATTACAAGGTCATTTAAGTGTTCTTTTTTTCCTGAAGTATGTAGCTTTGCCTCATCCCCTCTGAGGTGACTTGTGAGATAATCCAACTCGATGGCATAGAGAGATTTTATCCTGGGGTTTTAATGTAGGTTATTTATCATCATTTTTTCCCCAAAACCCAGACTAGCGGAACCATCATGAATTACATAAGCACTCCCGGCAGATCTTGTCCTCTCACTCAGCTTGACACGGTCATTTAAATTCATTACTCCTGGTTGACCTAGGCTGCTGTACATATTAACCTAATAGATATAGTGTACCTGTTAAAATTAATTCTTCCCCAAATGCCTACTAAGCTCAAAAAAATGTAGTTATTCTAAAGAAATATAAATAAATCTCAATTTTTTTTAAACTGGGAAAGCAGTAAAGGAAACAAAAGATTAAAATCTTCATGAGAAAAATGTTACTGAGTTTGCAAAATGAATGCTCCCTAGAAATCAAAGAATATTTTGTGTAGGTCTAATTTAAAAGATGGTTGTATTCTTTGGGGAGATTTTTTTTTAAATGTAATTCTCAAATTTAAGATAGTGATCTACTACTTGTGCCTAAAAGACCAAGTTTAGCTATCAAGATTTGTGTACACGCAAACTATAAGAAAAGCACTTAATAATATATTTAGATAGAGCTACTTTGAGAAGTGGGCAAAGAAAGTGCTGTGAGGGGATAAATATTATTAATTTTCTTATCCAATAAACAGGACAAACTATGGAAAGTCTTTATGGGAACTTCAAAATTTTATCAGTCTGAGAATCAAAGTTAGTATTTACATATCCAAAAGACTTAAGACTACTTTAGGTGGAAAAGTCAGGGAAGATAATTAACCAGAGTACCTACATTTAGTGCTCAAATCAGTCCTTAAATTGCTTTCTGAAAAATCACTTCACTGACCCTCAAAACCAGTTTCATGAATCTTCCCCATGAAGGTAGGAATTAAAAATGTATTCAAAAGGAAGAACACTTAGCTATTTAAATAGTCACAAGTCCTGCCATATTTAAAATAAATGGAATTGGCTCTTATCCAGACTATAAGCAAACCTAATTAACAACCCAATCAAAACTTAAACTTTGTAAATTAGCAGTTAATTTATATATTGAACAATATTTAAACACCAGTACCAATGAATATGGTATATACATTATACATTTATTACACTAATTCAACTATTTGAAAAATGTAAGGTGAAAAAGAGTGACACAGAGAGAAAGAGAAAGAGTGAAAGAACACAGAAGACCAAGGACTGAACAAAAAAACAAACCGTTGCCTTGTCTTTGATGATCTATGCATTAAATCCCCCATGTACTTAGTATACTAGACTGTTATAACTATCCACAGACCAAGATCATTTATAAAAAAATGTTTTCATCTCATAAATAATCACATACTGAGCTACAAATGGCAGAGACCCCAAAACACTAGACTGTTACTAATATATTTTCCTTTGTGTGTGTTTCAATACTTTTTGGCACATACAAGATTATCTATGCTGAGACCATTTAGCCTTATATCAAAAATTCTGCTTCAATGCATAAACAGTGGCATGCCAGAGATGCCTATATTCACAGTAAGGTTTAGGCCTATTTGTTGCCGAAAGCTGTGAACATGCAAGTTGATTAAGTGTTCTCTTTCATGCTCCTGTCTGTATTATGTCATTGGATAATGAGATAGGCTGCCCTTTCTGTCCATTACTAGAGCAGCTGGAGACAGCATTTGCTACCTGGCAAAACTTTCGAAGAAGGATCTTTCTTAGCAGCAGATAAACCCAGGGATCCAAGATCTGGTTCAGGGAAGCCAGGCGAACAGCTATTAAGAACAAGTTGCATTCTTTCTGCTTTTCTGGGTGCGTCTTACAGTGCTCAACTGATGTCTGATTGAAGATCATTTTCAACATCATTATCTAAGAAAGGAGGACAAATAATTTTTCCATATATTAATAAGGTCATATGCATCTCCTCGACACAGCACTTTGCACATAGTTTAACATAAATTGGTGGTTGTATTGAAACAATGAAACCAAGCAACATTTGTACTCATAGAACACAGCTCTGAATTAAATGATACATTCCTACGGATGTTCCCACATTTTTGGCTATTTGACGTGACGCAGTTTTTTTAGAAAGTGAATGTTCTCAGGCTCTTGGTGTTTGGGATTTAAGAAGTTTGAAAGTAACACATCTCAAAACTAGCCACAGTCTTCTATCTTGTTGCAGAAAACACAATTATGTTCATACCCAAATGAAAGCCTACACTTCAACAAAACCAAAATACATTTAATCTCAACCTTCAATAGTTCCAACTGAAAAAAAAATTACTGAGAAAAATTAGAAGCAAGAAAGGGGAAAAATAATATTTTCTTAATCCTTACAATTTTCCAGGCACTGTGTCAAGTTCTTCCTATGCATTTAAATAAATGATGCAAGATAGATATTATTACCGTCTCCTTTTTACAACTGCAGAACCAAGGTTTAATGATGTAAAATATCTGGGACAGACTTAAACCCAGATTCACTAACACCATATGACATATGGTACTTTACTTTTTTTTGTCTCTCCCTCCTCACCACACACACACACACACACACACACACACACACACACACACACACACACACACACACACACACACACACACACACACACACACACAAGTATATTCACAATATGTATCTAGAACAATATTTGGCAGGCAGTGCTTAATAAATATTTATGAATAAATAGGTATATTGTATGACATATATAAGAAGATAATATAATGTGACATATATTTATATTTGAATGAATATTTGTGATTTCCACAGAAGAGAATAAATGAAGGTTCATATGCATCTGAAAAAATATTCAAGCTTGTTCATCATCAGAATGCAAATTATGAAAAACTAAGAAAGCATTTTACACCCCCTAATTTGACAAATGATGAAATGTGACTTTTCCAAATGTTAGTAAGTACGTGGAATGATGAGGCCTCTTTTACACACTATGAGTGAGAGTGTGAACTGGTGCAGCCACCTTACAACTGCGCACTGTTTCATCTGCTCCCTCCCAGCTCTCCTACTCCTCCTAGTCCTCGGAACATACTGTCCTGAATTCCTGCACCAAAAGTTGTGTACATGACTGCTCATCACAACGTCATTCATTGTAGGGGGGAAAAAAAGCAGGAACAACCCAAATATGGGTTCACATTCTCAAGCAAAGAGTGGTGCTTTTATAACTGGTTCCGCAGTTCGTCTTTCCGGGTGCATGGCTATTAAGCACTTGAAATGTGGCCGGAGCAAATTGAGATGCTGGGCTAGTTAATGATTAAACCTTAAAAAGATATTTCTGATATGTTGTGTTATTAATAAATGAAGCATGTTATTAAAATGAATATCACTTGTTCCTTTTTACTTTTTCTAATATGTCGTTACTAGAAAATTTAAAATTATACACGGGCCTTGCATTTGTTGCTCACAGTACATTTATACAGAAACCACTGTCTCTCTCGAGAGGCCCACAAGCATTTGAATGTTCTGTCCTCTAGTCACATATCCCAAATAGAAGTCAGCATCCCTGAACATCCAAAACACCAGGGCCACAAACTCACAATCCAAACAATACACTTTCATTCTTACACAGTCACCCTGGCCCAGCATGTCAGCCATCTTTGAATCCTTCTTTTGCCTGGTCCTCTGCAATGTCTTTTGCTTTTATTCGAATCTCTTCTTAGTTCAGCTCCCCCTCTCATCGGAATTACAGTCATAGCAGACATCCAGATGGTGCATATAAATGTCAACACATCACAGATTCAGCAGCCTAAATCCCAGCTCTGTTCAAATCCTCACCAGCTATAATATTAAAAACTTTGACTTGGTCTTATTGGACAAAGTTGGGTCACAGGTAATTCTTAAACCAATCACTTGCAAGGGAGACGGAAATGTGCAGGTTTGGCTTATAGGACAAATTCATCCCCTGGGTCTTAACCCAAGGTCCTTGACCAAATTCCCACCTAATACCCGAACAAAATTATGTTTCTATAAATAAATAAGAAGAGGGGAATGGGTAGGCGACCAGCAGACAGCCTTATATTCTGAGTCCATAATTTCTTTCTGAGGGTTTTTTTTTTTTCACTAAGGGATTTATTCAATAAAAGCAAAAATCAGCTGTACAAATAATTGAATGTTCAGTGAAGCATTATCTACACTAGTAAGAAACTGTAAACACATAAATCTAACATCAGGAGTAAAGCTTAATAAAATACAAATATGTTATTCTGCGTTGGTCTTAATGCTCCCTTGGCCGGCTAGTTATGAGACTGATCAGGAAGAGGAATCTTGCAGAGGATACGTGTGCTTGCTACAAAAAAGAACCTCTGCACTGTCCAGGCATCCTTGTGTTTTTGTTTGTTCTCCTCCCTCGTGTAAGGAGTAAGATAGTATATTTAGTTTATATAATAATATATATAAGAATTAAGTGTAGAAGGAGTAGAATAGTATGTCCTGCTTACATAATAGGATATATAAGAATTACA